CGGGACCAAAGAGCCAAAGCTCAACCCCCGCAAGCACAAATAGGTGAGCACAAATTGGTGAGTACACACACACACACACACACACACACACACACACACACACACACACACACACACACACACACACACACACACACACCATCAATCATTCCACACATTGAACATGTAGCACATGTAGCACATATGACAGTCACCAAACATACAAGCCACCTTATACACAAAGTATAATACATCCACTTCCTCGCATACAACCCTACAAAAAATATATATATATAAATACTTAAGTCTTCTGGTAAACAAAAATGCATTATTGAACTTTACTACAAAGTTTTAGGCCATACAAAAGTTTAATTTTTTACATAGAAAATATTTACACCTTATTTCCATTCTCAGTATACAAGTATACTGAGTATACAAGTATACTGAGTATACAAGTATACTGAGAATGACAAGCATAACATAATTCGTTCATTACGAATGGAACTTGTCTCGTATCGATCTGTTGGTCGTACTTAGCCTTATATATATATTAGGTAGAGGTAGAATAAGAGAATGATTATTAAAGTCTACGGAGGCAGCCCTTCATATTTCACTAAATGTAACCCAGAGCGTCGGTCTGGCTTCATGCAGGTCAGCGTTCAATCCCCGCTCGTTTGATTGGTTGGACACCCCTTCCCCCTCCCCATCCCAAATCCTTATCCTGATCCTGGCGCACCTGTTAACTGATAGTGTAAGGAAAGAGGTGTTATATCAGGTCGTCTGAAGTCGACACTCTAGAAACTGCTTTCAATAATGAGTTCACTGAAGTTTTTCATAAGGAATAAACTTCATTCACACATACAGCTGTGTGCCAGAGCCTTCATGTGGTCGCTTGACCTGAATCCATCTTGGAATGAAATAACAGAAATAAATCAGGGGGGGAAAACGCCAAGCCATTACGACTGTATAGCACTTGGAAGGGGGGTCAGGATAAAGATTTGGGATGGGACGGTAGGAAAGGAATGGTGTCCAACCACTTATGGACGGTCAGGGATTGAACGCTGATCTGCATGAAGCGTGACCGTCGCACTATCGTCCTGCCCAAGTCTTGGAATGAACGATCTCTGATGGGGAGATCCTGATAGCGGTACAAGTGGCAGCAGGGTATGAATGATTGAACCCCTTGTATTGAGGTCATTCACTTCAGATTGTGCAAGATATTTCACCAAGTAGGGATGGTTATCTTGACATCTTGAGGTTATCTTGAGATGATTTCGAGGCTTTAGTGTCCCCGCGGCCCGGTCCTCGACCAGGCCTCCACCCCCAGGAAGCAGCCCGTGACAGCTGACTAACACCCAGGTACCTATTTTACTGCTAGGTAACAGGGGCATAGGGTGAAAAAAACCTCTGCCCATTGTTTCTCGCCGGCGCCTGGGATCGAACCCAGGACCACAGGATCATAAGTCCCGCGTGCTGTCCGCTCGGCCGACCGGCTCCTATACATTAGCCACCCATTACCCATACATACTGGTCAATACATTAGCCTCACATAACTACTGCCTTCCCCTCGGCTGGCAAGGCTGTGATGTACTGACCAGGAGCCAGATTCACGAAGCAGTTACGCAAGAACCTACGAACCTGTACATCTTTTCTTAAACTTTGGCGGCTTTGTTTACAATTATTGAACAGTGCATGAGCTCTGAAGCACCAGGAGGCTGTTTATAACAATAACAACAGTTGATTGGCAAGTTTTCATGCTCGTAAACTGTTTAATAAATGTAACCAAAGCCGTCAAAGATTGAGGAAAGATGTAAACGTTCGTAAGTGCTTTCGTAACTTCTTCGTGAATCTGGTCCCAGCACAACAACGCTAGATCAACACTTAGAGCTGAATCTACTTGCAATGTTCTCTACTCTGTACACCAGTGTGTTGAATAATGGGAGGACAAAGAGGGCATCCAGGAGAGCGGAACATTCCCAAGATGGGAACGAACTTGTCTTTCATACAAAGTTTTCCAACCACTGCTGCCCTCAAGGTACGAAATGTGCCGCTGTGCTAAAAGTTTCTTGCCTGTTCTCTCTCTCTCTCTCTCTCTCTCTCTCTCTCTCTCTCTCTCTCTCTCTCTCTCTCTCTCTCTCTCTCTCTCTCTCTCTCTCTCTCTCTCCCTCTCTGTGTTACAATTTTAATCCGCTGGTTGAGTCCAGCCTTTAACCCGAGCGCTCCATATTAGTCTAATTAACTCTCTCTAAATTACCTCCCCCTCTCCAATCTTCATCCATCAGTCACTTCTCTTCCCACCCTTCCTTACCGTCTCCTCTTTTTATTATTCTCTCCTTCTTCTTTCTTCCACTTCCCCCCCCCCTCTAATATTCTTCATACTTCCCTCATTCGTAATATCTTTTCCCTCTCAACTCCTGCGATCATATTTATCTCATCTCTCACTCCCTACCCTCTCATTCCTCATGCTGTCACCTGCATAGACTACCGGTCAGAATTTGGACAACTTTTAACAGTTATTTTG